CCTGATGGTTACCAGGAAGGTGGCCCATGGGTTTTACCTTCTATCTGGGGAACCCATGTGTGAGCTTGGGGCTATGGTCCGAGGGCCAAGAAGACAGGTTCCTGGGTGAGGGGACAACTGGAGGGAGGGACAGTGTGGCAGAAGCACCCTGTCTGGCTCCGCTACTTGGGGCCTCAGCCACTGCAGCAGTCTGCAAGCCCCTCTGGTGCTGGCCCTGAGCAGGGACCCCTTCCATGAGGGTTTACTCATTCCTCACAACAGGCAGGAAAATCCAGGGCCACTGAGATGTGGTGACCTATCCCTGACTCTCAGCCCCCATGAGTGGCCAGACAGGTGTGGACACTGTGGATCCACTCCATGACCTCCAGCTGGGTGGAGGTCAACCTGGGGGGGGGTCAAGGAGGGCTTCCTGGAGGAGGGGGGGTGTCAGAGCCAAGAGTTAAAGAAAAATGATCCCGAGGAGCCTTGTGGCTGGAGATGGGTGTACAGGAGCTGGAGAGACGGGACTGGATGGTGCCCACTCCTTCACCCACCGGCTTTGCCTTGACCCTCAGGATTCTAGGCTTGGCCCAACCCTGTAGGGAGTGGCCTGGCAGGGTCCCCTGCCTCTGAGAGCAGGACTCAGTCATTGCAGCATAGGGGTTGAGGAGACAACCTGCCTGCCTGTGAGGGGCTCCTGAAGAGGTGTGTCCTGGCAGAGCCTCCACTTCCTCCAGGAACAGGCACTAGCACCAGGCCCCAGTGCTGGACAGGGCTGACCAGCCCGGCAGGCCCACGCCTCCAAGTCCAGGCTCAGCTCCTAGATTCAGGGTTGATGTTGTGGGACAGGCCAGTCTGCTGGGGAACCTGGGAGCTCCAGGCCCCCCACAAGCACCCTCCTGCCAGGAGCAGGGTTCCAGGGGCCACTGGGCCCACCCCTGTCACAGCCTCTCTCTGAGGCCTCCATATAGTGGTGGCTTCGAGCCACTGTCCCCATGGGGAGACTGAGGTACACCCACTGCTAATAGCAGCCACTGTGCTGTCTTCCTGGGGCCACCCAGGCTTCACATGGGGAGCCCTGCCAAGTCCCAGGCTGTGATGTGCAGGCTGGGCCCATCGTGCAGGAGTCCAGGGATCCAGGGGTCCAGGTGTCCAGGGAAGCCTTGGCCCTGTGCAGGGTATGAAGAGAGCAAACGGGTGAAGCAGGTCCCCATGGAGGAAAGGAGGAGAGACAGGACCAAGGGCAAGGCCACCAGCAAGGAACTGGGACATGGGGCGGCCACCAGAGGGCCCAAGGCACTGTGGGAGAAGTTGAGTTGAGGGCTGGGCCTCCTCACTGCAGCTGGAGGTGGCTCAAAGGTCACCTGACCAGACATGGAATTGCCATGGTCGTGAGTCCGCCACAGCTCAGAGTTTCTCCCCCCGAATGACATCCCCAGGCCGACTAGCACAACAGGAGAGATTGACAGCCAGGGTCTCGTGATGTCCCAGGGCACTGGGGTAAAGAAGCCACACAGCGCTCTTGGGCAGAGCCACAGCTGGTAGCAGGTACCTGAACAAGGGTGGCCTCAGGTCCAATCCTGCCTGGATCTCTGTTGTCTCGTCTGTGCACTGGGGACATGAGCAGCCTCTTCTTGTGAGGACGTGAGTGTGAGGCATCCACCCCACACTGGGGAGGCCGAGAGCGGGATCAAGGCCAGTGACTGAGGCGGGCAGCCCCAGCTGTGACAAGGGGCCCCACCCTGTGCCGCTGTGGCCAGCCTGGGCTCGGCTTATCCGACAAAGCAACGCTTCCCTCTCCACATGTTCCCGCATGTTCTTGGTCTCGCTGGACGTTAGTCTACCATCAGCTGTTAACCATTTTGCTGCTTCTACTATTTCAGAACTAATTTAAGAATTAAAAAATAATTCTTCCAACTACTGTGCAAAGCTCTGGGCAGCCAGATAAATAGGGGACAGGCGCTCCCATCCGAGGACACGGGCCAGCCACGCAGCCCCACAGGGCAGCTCAGGGACACCTCGGCCCCCTGGGCCTACATTTGAGCCTCGCCGCCCTCCTGGCCTTGGGAGTGGGGGGTCACGGCTGGCTGAGGGAGACCCCCAGGAGCAGCCCACCCCTGAGGGATGCTCACCCTTGCCCTATTCACCCAGGGTGGCTGCAGCCACTGTGAGCCCTGGCTCCAGGTGTCACCCTCCACCAGTTGTGCTCAGTGGCACAACCCTGGCAGGACCTGGGATACAAGGATGGGCCCGTGAGCTAGGAAGGATTTTGTCTGCAGGTCACCCTGTGGCTGGCCTGGCATCCTTGGATGGGGCCAGGAGCACCCACCATAAACCAGCAGCCAGCATCCAGGGAGAGGTTGACACGAGGCACACTGATGCACATGGCTTTAATTAGCTTCCTGCACAGGCCTTGGGGGTCCAGGAGACTGAGACTGGCCATCAGCCACTACCCACCAGCCCCATCCAACACCAAACCTTGGGGAAATAGCTGGGCCAGGGCCGGGGCAGGTGTGGCTGGGGAGGGGATGAGGTGGGTGCAGGTAGGTGCTGAGCCCTCAGTCCCTGGCCCAGCACCACCCACCCCCTCTCCCCATACCCCGTCAGCACTGGGCGGTGAGCTCATTTCTTCCTGGGCTGTAAATATCACCCAAACGCTCACGGCTCCCAAATGTGTCCTCCAGCCGGGCCCTTCTCCTGAGCTCAGCCTGCACAGCCCACGCGACACCCCCGCCCAGATGTCGCCTGGGCCTCAACAAGGCGGCCGCTTCTCCCGCGCACCCCCCCCCCCCCACCTTGGGGACAAGCGCCCTGTCCCAGCTGCTCAGGGCAGACGCCGGGAGCCCTGCCCACCACCTCCACCCTCTCAAAACGTCGATGCATCCTGCCCAGTCCAATTTGAAACTCGTCCACTTCCTTCTGGATCCTCCCACCCCCTGTTCAGGCCTGGCCAGAGTGTGGCCAACTGTCCCCCCCGCCCTGCTGCTGCCACCGCACAGGTCCCCACTGTGCATGCAGCAGCCAGAGGGACCGTCTCAGGAAATCAGATCCTGGGACAAAGTATTCAAGGCCTGTGCAACCCACCACATCCCCCCAGGGCCCCCAAGCTCACCTGTCCCCTGCCTTACCCTCGACTTCCATATCACTTCCCCCAACAGGCTTGGTTGGCCTGTTGTCCCCACACACTGACATGCTCCCGATTTCTCCCTCGAGGGGAGAGGAGGTGCAGAGCCCTGAGGGAGAGACTAGGGGCTCCAGCAGTGCCAGAAGGAGCATGGGACTGTGGAGACAGTGTCCAGCTAGGGCATCTGGGGCGGTTGGCCTGGCCACAGCTCCATGTGGGGCTTGCAGCCTGCAGAGCCACCACCTGAGGGCCTAAAAGGGGCCTGCGGGCAGACAGGTGCCTGTCAGAGAGGGCTGGGCATTGTGTCAGCAGAGGTGTGACCTGCTGTCCTCCGTGAACCACTGAGGGTGCCAGCATCCACTGCAGATGCAGAGGTCAAGAGGGCCTCAAGGTTCTTTGCAAATGGGTGTCTGGGGTTCCCGGTCCCAACTCACATGTGGCAGCCCCAGCCTCAGCCCCTGCCCCAGATGTAGCAGTTAGGCTGTGTCTTCTCAGGCACGGTAGGGCCACTTGGGAGGAAAGTGGACAAAACAGTGAGGTCCCTGGGCCCAGAGGGGCTGGTGGGAGCCTTGGGCAAACAATGCCCCACCCGTGCAAAGCCTACTTGAGTGGCCCCATCTCCGGCCCTGTGGGTAAGGCTGCCAGACTGGGAGCTCAGGTGTGCCGGTGACCACAGAGCAGAGGGGCAGACTGTAGGCAGAGGTGGGGGTGGCAGCACCAGCCACACGGGCATGAGGGTCTCTTGGAAGAGGAGAGCACACGGTGGGGGGACCCTGCTGAGGGGGGCCAAAGAGTAGACAGAACCACAGCATCCTGAAGCTGCCCTGGACCCCATGGAGTCCTTGGGCATCAGCACGGAGGAGCCGTGGGGGCGGCTGGGGGCCCTGGTGACTGAGCACATCCCCCCTCCTTCTCCTCCTCCCCTGGGCTTCTGGAGCCCCGGCCGCCCCCACGGCCATCTGGTTCCACCAGCAACGCTCCCCCCACTCCCTCCCCCACGTCCCTGTGTTTTCCTCCCTCTCCCCCACCCCAGCCCCTGCCCTGAGGGGATGGGGGCCCTTTCCTGGGAGCCTCCTGCACTGCTGGCTTCCTGGCCATGTGGCCTCTTTCCCTTTTGTTTCTGAGTCCTCACCGACCCAGGCCTTGGGAAAGCGTGCGTGTGCATATTTTTGCCTATGCTGTGTGTGCTGTTAGCAAGCACATGCGTGCATGAGTGTGTGTGCATGGGTGTAGTCCCCCATACCGTGTGTGCGTGTGCTGTGGGCACATATGTGTGCAGGAGCATGGAGACCCACAAGGGCCTGCCACTGGGTATGGATGTGGTGTAAGCAGGGGGTGCCCTAGGTCCATGCCCGTGGAGCAGTGGCTGCAGGTCTCACGTGTGAGGATGGGCAGTCATGTTGGGGTGCGCATGGTTCCTGCCCGGCCTTGTGGCCTGGCCTCACACACCCAACTCTCTAAGGCCACCCTTCTCCTGCCCATCCCCCAGCGGTGGTAGCAGGGTCCTCTCAAGACCACCCTCATCCCCCACCCTCAGATTCCTCCTGGAGGCTGCCCCAAGCCACGTGGGAGCTGGGGGATGCTGGGGCTGGGCTGTCTGGGGTGGAAGGTACCAGAGCAGGCATCCCCAAAAAGGATGCCACAACTAGACCCGTGGGCCTGGCATGTGCTGTCAGCCCAGCTTGCAGGGGAGGCGGCTGAGTTTCACTGACGTCAGCCATGGGGCAAGCTCAGCCTGCATGGCTGGGGGTGGCAGGGACATCACACTGTCCTTGGTGTCTGAGCTGCCTTCAGCCCAGGCTGCAGCACCTAGCATGCCCGTGACTGTGTGCTGCTCCTCTAGGGCCCACCCCCGCCTCTCATGGCCCACAGCACCCTCAGCCTGAGAGGCCACAGCTTAAGAAAAGAGCTCTTTATTCCACGTCATCCGATATTTTTACACAAGTAAAATAAAATGCATATCTCTATATACCGCGATCCGGGTGGGAGGCGGCGTTCTGGAACAAACGCTGCCTCGGAACCCTGTAAACATGATGGGGTGGAGATGGGGGTGGGCAGGTGGGGAGGCGTCCGTCAGGGAAGGCCTGGCCTGCCCCTCGGGGCCTGCCACCCGGCGCTGGCTGGTGGCGTGGAGGGAGCCCCCATATGTACACACACCTGGCTGCTGAGAAAGCGCCTGTGTCTGGTGTCTGCTCAGCAGGGCCCGAGCACTGTCCACAGCACCAGTGCGAAGCCCAGGGGGGCGAGGCTGTAGGTGAGGGTGGGCAGGGCACCCGAGCCTTCCACCTCACCAGCTGCGCCACCCCCACTGCCCGCCTGGCCCAGCCGGCACTGGCTGCGGGTGCGGTTCTTGCGGGAGCAGCCTGGCCTCCGCCGAGGGCCCGTGGTGGGAAGCCCTGGTGGCTCGGAGCCCTCAGGCCGCAGTGCGGTCAGCGGGGGCTCAGCCGAGTTGGGCAGGATCCCAAAGGGGGAGTCGTTGATGTGCCGCGGGCTTGAGCCATTGCCTGGTGGGCTGTCACCAGGCGGCACACGCCCCTTGAGCGCGTTGCCAGCTGAAGCCGGACTCCCGGCCTCCAGCACATTGGTCTTGTCTGCGGCGTCGGGCTGGCAGCACTTGGGCAGTCCTAGCAGCTCTTCATCGGTGAGCCCGCCGGTCCGGATGGGACGGGAGGGCCGAGTGGCCACAGCACAGCCCTCCAGGTCATTGGCGGCCAGACGCTTGAGGTCGCGGCCAGCCAGGCGCAGGGGCAGGCTGCAGAGCAGCTCAGACGAGGAGCCGCGGAAATTCTGCAGCCAGGCCCAGAGCGGGCGTGCCCGGCAGTCGCACACCCAGGGGTTGTCATTGAGCCGCAGGTACTGCAGGGCACGCAGGGGCACCAGGGCCTCTGCTGGCAGCGCTGAGAGGTTGTTGGCAAACAAGTAGAGTGTCATGAGGCGGCCAAGGTCACGGAAGGCGTGTGGGTGCACGCGGGCCACGCGGTTCTGGTGCAGCAGGAGGCGGTCGAGGCTGTGCAGGCCACGGAAAGCACGCTCGGGCACGCTGGGGATGCGGTTGCCGTGCAGGAAGAGGTGGGTAAGGTTGCCCAGGTCACGGAAGGCGTCGTCGGGCAGTGCCTGCAGCCAGTTGTCCTGTAGGTAGAGGTACTGCAGGGCAGCCAGGCCACGGAACAGGCCCGGACCCAGTTCTTGTAGGCCGCAGCGGTCCAGGTGTAGTGTGTGCAGGCGACTCAGGCCATGGAATGTGGTGGGGTCCACGGTGCGCAGCTGTGCATTGTCACTGAGGTCCAGCTGCTCCAGGAGGGCCAGGCCAGCAAAGGCAGCGGCGTCGATCCGGGCCAGTGCATTCGAGTGCAGCCACAGGATGGTGAGGTTGCGGCAGGCGTGGAAGCCGGCAGCTGGCACATGTGAGATGTGGTTGCCATGCAAGAAGATGCGCTGGCTGGCGGCGGGGATGCCAGTAGGCACGGCCTGCAGGCCCTGCTGGGGGCAGCTTGTTGTCACTTTGGGCTCATTGTAGCATACGCAGGCACCCGGGCATGGCGCTGCCACCCGCCAGGCCTGCAACCACAGCACCCATGCCAGCAACCGGCTCCCTGAAGGCAGAGGAAAGTGCGGTTAGTGGGCAGGGGTCCCCAGCAGGCTAGGGGTCATGCTGGAATTAGGTCGGCCCCTGGGATTGGGCCTCAGGAGAGGCTGGAGCTAGGCTGGGTGCAGTCAGACATGTGGTCACCACCCTTGAGAACTGGGGCTGTTGGGATACCTGCTCCACATGCCACACAGATAATGCTGAGTTATAACCTGCCACGGAGCCACACGCTCCACACCAGGAAACCACATCTGCAGACTCTCCATGCCATCCCACACAATGTTCACACACAGGAGCTGACATGCCTGCTACACCTCCCATCAGGGTTAGCCCACTGGGTCACCCACGATCACCTACTTGAAGGCCTCCTGGGTGGATACTTATGCCTGCAGGTACCTTCTCAGGACTCCAGTGAACACAGAGTCCCCTGGGCCTGACTGCTCCCACCATTCCCAAGCCAGGCCGGGAGAGGGTGAGTGGGGTCCTCAGCAAACACTGGCAGACCAGGTGGCCCATGCTTAAGGCCTGTTAGGAGAGGCCCAGGCAGAGAAGACCAGGGCTGAGCCTCAGATCCCCATGTCCTGCCCAGGCCCCTGGAGCTCCTGAGGCCCCAGGTCTGCTGGGATTCTAGGGAGGCCCCCCTGAATACCATGGCCGTGGGGGAGTTATACTTTATTGAAGAGACTGCACACCCCAGTGGCCCTCTGCCCACCTGAAGGGGTCCCAGGGGTCCTGAGGGTGTCCCACCCAACAGGTCTAGGAAACACTGCCACCAGGCTGGGTCCCACCATCAGTGCCTCTGTTATTACAGGAGCAGAAGCCTGGACATCGGAGGGCACGGGGAGGAGGGCAAGTGGGGTCCAGGGCTCAGGAAGAGGAGTGTGGCCCTGCTTGGGCTCCCCCCCACCCCCGCCACCTCCCAGGCAGGCTGCGCGCTCCTCCACAGCCTCTGATCCCAGCACTCCCGGGCTTGGCAGGGAGCTCCTCCCGAAGCCTCCCCCCTTGGCCTCATTCTCTGCTTCATCTCCCCAGGGAGGAGCTCACTCCTTCCCAGCCAATCCCTGCACAATATCAGCTGCCTCAATCCCCCACCCAGAGCACCCTCAGCCTGGACAGCTTCCCAGCAGGTTCTCCCCGAGTCCCAGGGGGCTGTCCCCCCACTCATATCAGGGCCAGACACACCTGGGGTTTCACCAAGGGCCCATACTGTAGCAGACCCCTCCTGGGTGTTGTACCCAGACCTGGTCTCACCAGCCGGCCCACATACCCCAGCAGTAAGCTTCACTGCCCCTCCTCTGAATGCTGGAGGTTCTTTCTGCCTTCAGGAGTGAGTCTATTAAAACGTGAATCCCCCTGGGAGGGCTATGGCTTATCAGCTAACACTTGAGTTATCAGCTAACACCTTCGCTGACAGCTAACACCTGCGTTGACAGCTAGCTAAGAGCAGGATGCTGCAGACATGAGGCCGGCTAAGTGCAGGGGTGGAGCCGGGAGGGAGGAGGAAAGGAGCACAGGCCAACTTCCCCCACCCAAACTGTGACCCTGGGGCCCTCCAACCCATGCTGGGGCCACTGCCCTCCCCGGGGACCTCTCTGCCTGGGTTAGCACAGACAGTTGCCCTAAACCTAGGGCCTCAGTAAGCCAGGCACGTGCAGTGGTCACTAGGTAAGAGCACCCTTCTAGATTCTGGTCCCCAGGTCTTGGGAGACCCTCCCCACATCTTGGGGGCCTCCTCTGCCCCCATCCCCGGCCCATTTTTTGACCACCTGGGAGATGGCAGCCCCAGGATGGGGGTTTTGGGGGGCAGGCCCAGCCCAGGATCCCCCAGCCTCTGGGCACTCCTCCCCTAGGTCAGTTTTTTGGACCTCCAGCCCTCACCAACCTGGCCCTCAAAAGGCTGTGAGCTCCACTCCCCGAGAGCCACTTGCTCAGGGGTCTTCTCCCTTCTGAAGCCGCTATGTCCATCCTAGGAATGCCCCAGGCAAGGCTCCAGGCCTGAGCCACACTGTGGGGGGACGGCTGCAGGGTGCTCAGCCCTGACAGGAAGTGGGTTCTGGGCATGAAGACACAGTTCCATTCTCACCCAGACAACTGCTTTTCAGAAACCAACTTCTGAGAGCCGGGCCTCTGCCCGGGCCCTGCTGTCAGCACAGAGGCTGGGGTGGGCTCTCTACTCACTGTGGCCACGGTAATTGGTTCTAGCCCAGCCCCCCTTGGGGCCTGCCCGCTAGTCTCCATGGCAACCCCTCTGCTGAGTGAGCATGAGGGGGCATCTTTTTATGAGATAATCAAACCCAACTTTGCGGCATGGGTTTGTATTCACAGCAGGGGCCCTGGGGACACGGAAAACCCAGCCAGGTAGTGGCAGGGCATCCCCTGACCCCACCCCAGGAGCTGAACCAATGGCTCCTGACACCCCTGGCCCTCCACTGTGAATGGCAGCCCCTCCCCACTCCTAAAAAAGGTCACTCTGGCCAGTTTTGCAACCTATCTCCCTGGCCTCTGCAACCCCTGAGCCACAAGGCTTCTCTGGCCCTAGGTCTGTTCTCCACACCCCCCTTCCCATCCCCAACCTGCCCAGCCACTTTAACAAGGAGACTCTGCCCTCGGTCTCTACCTCCCCTGGGACCCACCTTCTACCCTCACCCAGTCTCATTCAGTCCCAATTCTCAGTGAACACCCAGTGTGAGTCCGACTCCTGGCACCCATGGTGAGAAATCAGCCAGCAGAGGCCCCAGCTCTCATGCAGAAACCACACAGGGCATGCATGCCCCCCAGGCTCCTGTGGCCACCTGAGCCTCCCTGGCCCCAGAGTGGCTCACCCCAGCCTCCAGCCCCAACTTCCTCCTGCCTCCAGGCTACACCAGCATGGTCGTGAGGGCTGTGGCCAGCCACCCCTGTACTGAAGGCTCTGAGATTTCAGAGGGTGGGGGTGGGCAGTGACTAGATACTGGCCAGGGGCCTCTCCCCCAACAGCAGTCAGACTGGGCAGGACAGGATCACTGGGTAAAGGCCCAAGAGGCAGGGTGGGCATACAGGCCTGGGCTTGTCCTTGCCACTCCCCTCCCACTGCCCCTTGAGGCTCACCCCAGAGGTGGCAGGTGCTATGGGCAATGGAAGCAGCAGGCGGCCCAGGGAGGCACCAGCACCGCTCCCCTGCACTGCCAGCTCCTGTGAGCAGAGGGCCAGTGTTCACACGGCAGGGTGGGGGGTGGGGGGGAGGCGGGCTATGGGAATGCCTGGATGTGCTTCGGT